GCCCTTACTGGACATCTGTGAAAAAGAGCTTTATAGCTCATCGGATACCTCCAGTATGAATAAAGATTCTGATTCTGACCTATCTGACCTATCTCTCCGTGAAACCTGTGCCCGTTTGGCGCGAGCTCTCAACGCGACGCACCTTGACCTCCTCGGTGTGCGTGAACTCCTCGTGCACCACGTTCTCCACCTCCACCATCAGCACCTCCTCGCTCGCCCCCCCCGCGTCCTCCCCTCCCAGCGGCTCCACCCCCACGGGGCCCGTGCCCCCCCCCACCGCCGCCTCCTCCACCACCTCTTCGGGGCCCCCCGGGGCGCCAGGCGCGGGGGGCACGGTCTCCAAGGGTCGCCCGCCCCTCTCCCGGCGCCAGCGTCGACCCCGGGGTCGCCCTTCCTGCTCGGGGTCGCCCGGGGTCGCGGTCTCGTCCGCTTCTGCCTGCGGGGTCATGACCATCATCTCGGGGTCGGCGTCGAGCGCGCGTGTGATCCGGATCCTGGGGGGCAGATGGGTTGGGAGGGGGCAGCGTGGTCACCGATGACTGCGCTCGTTAAAATTGGTTTTCATTCATCACCTTCAGCCGTGGTCGATCCACTGCTGGATGAAGCTTCCTCAAGCCTCCGCCACCATCTACTAAGGTTTAATTCGCGTGAAGGAATGCTGCTGGATAACATTGGTATGTAAAGCGAATATGCCGATGGTCCCAGTGATACCACCAACAGTAGCGGTGTGACGCGAGTGCGGCCCTACCCCCGGTGTTAACGGTGTGACACGAGTGTGGTCCTACCGCCGGTGGCCCATGACGATCATGCGCAGCTTGTCGCCCAGGTCCTGCATCTCGTGGATCTGGACGAACGTCCCCACGGGGTGGATCTCGTCCAGACTGCTCACCGCGTCCGCCTCGTTACTGCACAGAGACACGCGCAATCACAAAGACCCCCCCCCCGTATAACCTCAACCGACTTTTCGGAAAATGAACGTACGTTGAATTTCTTTCGCACAGTACATAGCCAACTGTGCTAATCGGAGGTGCGAAAAGTGTTCTTAGTGTGCACAAATGAAGGCCGGGACGGCACATGGGGTGGGTCGCCAGCACCACGCCCGGCCACCTTTTTCTCCCCAATGGCGATGTTTACACACCGCACCAGGTTCTCATTTGAGGCTGAGTCGATCTAGGGGAGGGCCGGTTTGCTCAGGTAGCTGGGTTGATGGTGCAGCGCGCTAACCACTGCACCACCGCTCCCCACACACACACACACCATCAGAGCTCCTCCGGCACACACGCACTCACACAGTAGACACACGGGTGGTGATTGCCATGCAATGAACACCCAAGCAGCAGGATGTGATGCAATAACACCCCCTGCTGTGGATACGACGCTAATCAATAGACCTCAGAAGCAGTGGTGAGGCCATTCTCTGTAACACGGGGTGCTACGTTGCTATCTTTGGTGACAACAGGGCACCGATTTGCCTACGGGTGGCATATAGCTAAACGATGTTTGTGATACTGCATGGGCAGTGGTGCACAAGCACAAACAACATTATCTCAACACATTCGTCAACACCCTACATTTCAGGCAAAGCCCCCTTCTTCATAGCAGACAAATGGGATATACTCGAACATAGATTGGGATAACTCTGTGCTGGTGGTGTTAAGGGTGGTGGGGGTGGTGGTAGTGGTAGTGGTGGGGGTGTTGGTAGTGGTGGCGGTGGTGGTGTTGGGGGTGGTGTTGGGGGTTTGGGGGTGGTGTTGGTGGGGGTGACGGGGGTGGTGGTGGTGGTGACAGGGGTGGTGGTGGTAGTGACCGGGGGTGGTGTTGGTGGGGGTGACGGGGGAGGTGGGGGTGATGGTGTTGAGGGTGGTGGGGGTGACAGGGGTGATGGTGATGGGGTTGATGGGGGTGGTGGTGGTCTCTCACACCTGTCCTCTCGCTTGAGGAAGACCCCCGCGTAGGGCTGCGCGAGCCGAACCTTCCTCCTCAACAGCTCCATCAGCTCCTTGTTCTTCACCTACACGGGCAAAAAAAAACAAAGACCCCCCGTATAGCCATGAACAGACTGTTGGGACAAGTGCTGTTAGCGAGCACCTATGAAGCCCAGCACGGCACACAGGGGATGGGTGATCAGCATCACATCCGGCGATGTTCACACACCACACCAGGTACTCATTTGAGGCTCAGTCGACGTAGGGGAGGCCCAGGACCGTTTCAGATAATTGTCACTGGTGTTGGCTGTGAGCGGGAAGCGAACTCGGGTCGCTGGGTTCTTAGAGCAGCGAACTAACCGCTGCACTACCACCTTCACGGGCACACGCGTAAACACAGACATCACTATTCCTCACCACCACGAGATGTTGCAAACTATCAACGCCCAACCCCAGCATTAACCACTCACCACCAAGAGCCATCACAACCAGCATCCTCAAACAAATAAATTAAATCACGACGTTTCGGAGTCAACACAAGCCTCCGTCTTCAGGTGAAACCGTCATTCTATCAATTTTGATACAGCAATTTTGACTTTACCGAAAACAACAAAGAGTATGAATCATTGCAGTTACGAAAGCTTCAAATCTAGAATCTTCAAGATCATTACCCTGAGTCATCATCACGAGTCGTCACCAAACAAAGATACCCCATAGAGCCTTAACAGAAACTGGATTTCTCCACTAATCTGGCTGCCGCCCGATACCGGTTGTAATTACGAGCGAAAGGTCGTACTCAGATTGTAAATGCTGTGGCTTTGCTCTCCAACACACTGGTGTGCTGTACTAGTAACGAATTGTCACGTTCTGTTTACGTGACAAACCTTACTAATTGGCTGTGTCGGGTGGTGGCGGGTTTAACGACACATTTATATTTACGCGATCCAACCCAAAGAAAAAAAACTGTTATGGATATTTGTCGCGAAAGCCTACTACAGTACGTGTTAAACAGCCTTAACAGACTGAAAGGGCAAGTGCCGTTAGCAAGCGCCTACGAAGGCCGGCACGGCACAAGAGGGGGTGGGTGGCCAGCACCACCACAACCAGCACCACCACAACCAGCACCACCACAGCCAGCACCACCACAGCCAGCACCACCACAACCAGCACCATCATTACCCCGAGTCATCGCCACCACGAGCCACCAGCTCCCACTCACCACTCTCCACCTCGACCACACCGCACTCGTCACTCGGCGTAGATTTACCATCAACAAACACAAACCACCCCCGCGGTGCAAGCGAGAGGACGAGGTGGTGAAAGTCAACAGTTGGGAGGGCAGATCATTCTAGAAGGTGGCGGAGTGTCAGTGAGTGTGGAAGATGTTTGAAGGGTACTGGGGGGCGCTGCGGGTGAGAGAGAATACGGGATGAGTGTTGGAAGGTGTCATTGAGCGTGGACGGAGCGACGAGTGCTGACCGCACCTCCCACTAGCACGGCTGGCTCCGTACGGTGCGAACAAAGTTCAACACACACGAGCGAGAATGACAGCACAAGCAGAGAGCTGGAGAGAGTGTGTGTATGTGGGGAGCCCAGGAGCCTTCACCTCGATGATCTTGATGAAGCGCGGGAACACGGGGTTGCGAGACACCGCGATCGCGGGCACGTTGGGGAACACTTCTGGGACCACGAGCGTCGCCAGCGCCGTGATCCCGGGCGAGGAGAAGGCGGCACCGCCACCACCACCACCGCCGTCCCCGCTCCCCGCCTCCTCGCCGCCGCCAGAACCCTCGGCCGCATCGTCTCCCCCGAGGCCTCGAGCCCCGCGGTCGCCTCCCTCGCTCCGCCCGGACGCGAGGCGCCGCGGCGGGCGGTGCGGCCATCCCAACTCGGTGACCCCGCGCGGCCTCTGCCCGACGCCTCCGTGCGGGGCCCCGCAAGACGCCGCCGGCGACGGCGCGGCCGAGCTCAGGGCCCGCACGCAGCGCGACGTCCTGAGCCGCGGCTCCACGGCGCGGCCGGCAGAGCGACGGTCCCCGCGGAGGTGCGAGCCCCAGCAGCCGTAGCCCCGAGCGCGACCCGCCGCGAAGCGAAGCACCAAACATCGCCGCCATGCCGACTCTCGTCCACAACGCACGCACGTGGGTGCCGGGCTCCGGGTGGAAACACGAACGGGGTGGGGGGGTGGGGCCCCGAAACGGTTCCGGGCCGCGGTGACGCAACCGCGGAGCAACTGCGGGTGACGTAACGCGGGAAGCGGCCACGTGGTCAGTGGAGCCCCGAGGCTGCCACTCCGTCATCGTCCCGTCTGTCTCCCCCATTGGGAAATTCCACGTTCCTATGGCGGGGGCGAGTTGATACATCTGATACGCACCGTTGGTTTCCCGAAAAAAAGTCCTTATTTTACCTATCCCGTAGAGATGATGATGATGAGTCGGCATACCTGTCAACCCATGTGGTTGAAGCCGTATTCTTGTACAAGCAAATTGAGTGTCCAGGTTCCATACGGCGCAGAGCCGTTTCGAATTGCAACTTTCAATTCGTGAAAAAAACATTTATTTGTGTTTCTCCCTTGCGATGGAACTTTGTAGGATGACGTTGAGACACGGGGTGACCAATAGGGTCTGACTTGGTCTCTAATAAGGTCGGGGCACTGATAAGGGGTTGACAGGGATGCGAGTCAACTCCACACCAACAACCTTTGTTTGCACTCGCGACCTTTGGGGCCGTCCATAAATGACGTCACGCACCTGGGGGGGGGGGGTGAGACATTTGTGACGAGGTGTGACGAGGGGGTGGGTTGAGAAATGTGACGTCACATCAACTTAAATATAGACAACACATTCTACTTAATTATACTTTTTTAAATAAATGTTTCCTCCGACAACATCAGAGTGCAGCGCCACATTAAATACGCACTACAATGACAATAGTTTAAAGCGATTTGAAGCATGTTTTATTTTTGGGGAGGGCAGAGCTTTGTGACGTCATATTTGAGGGGGGGGTTGACTTTTTATGACGTCGTGTGACAAAGGGGGGTGGGGGGGTTAAAAATCGTCCAAAATCGCGTGACGTCATTTATGAACGGCCCCTAAGATATGTTGGCACTCGAAATGTATTTGCCAACGGAAGGATCCTGCATCAAAGCTGGACACAAAGAGTGACCAACGGACAAGAAGAAAATGTCGCACGTGGAAGACCACGTGACGACGATGGTGGTGATGCAGGCAGTGACGAGAAGGAAACTGGCACGAATTCGGACACACGTGTAGGATGGACAACAGTACAATTAAGAGCGTGTGGGGAAAAATAATGGAAGGAAACGGAGATGGAGACCGAACAGAGACTGGGTTGAGGGCGTCAAGAGAGATTGGTGCCAGAAAGATGTGGCAACGACTTGAGAATTGTCGGCACAGGACACACGAATGACTTCGTGTGTAGTCGACACCTACGGGGCGACCTGCCCATGGATCGTGATGACGAGTACCGACACACGTTGGTCGCGAATCCTGCGTGTAAGCGACTGTTAACGTGCTGCTGGAAGCCCATCCGTTCGTTTTGAAATATAAATTGCCGTCGAGTTCCTGCCACTGTCCAGGATGTGGAAGGTGTGCGCAGAGATGGATTTGTACCAGTTACGTTGAACTTCTTTCGCACCGTACGTAGCCAACCGCACTCATCGAGCGGTGCATGGGAAGGACAACCAACTAAACCACAAAAGGCAGCTCTGAACAAATTAGTTTTTCATTCAAGTTAATGTGAAAGTGCATCGCTCCCAGTGGAAGAGCATTCCAGACGGCCGCAGAAAGCACATCCGAAAGCGCGCGATGCGGCGACCGCCTTTTGTTTGCTGGCCAGCCAATCGCGGGTGAGGTGCGACGGGTGGCGCGTTCATCCTAACGGAGACCATCTTGTTGTCCCCCTGCCCACCTCCTCCTCTGACGACGGCCGGCGGTCGAGACTGGTGATGGAATTGCAGGCAAAGGCGCGAGAGCAACGCCCCGCTCGAGATGGCAGTGACGGAATCGGCTTGCGCGCTGGCGCTGGCTGGATGGTTTTGGTCGCAGGATGGCGATTAGCAGGCGACGAATTGGGGAAGCCTTCGTCCTGCAGTGGATTGATCGTCGCTGCCGCTTGCCAATGATGCCGATGATGCTGATGATGCCGATGAACAAAGGTGGCGACACTGTTGTCTTGCTTATAAGAGCCCTTTTATCGACCAAAACCTTTATTTAAACAACACAATTGCAAGTCACCACTTCACAGAAATGGCTAAAAACCTTTTTTTGTACAGGAAGCGTCCTCACAGGACTCGGGGGAGAGACGGGCGCTCGGCTTTGGTTCACAGACACAACTCGATCACCACACGAGTACACTCACCACACTCACCAAACCGGTACTCACCACACGGGGACACTCAACACATGAGTTGTCACCACATGGGTACACTCGCCACACTCACCACACTTGCAGTCACCACACGGGTATATTCAACACACTCACCACATGGGTACACTCACCAGACTTACTACACTGGTAACACACCGCACGGGCACACACTCACCACATCCGCTACATGGGTTATACACCAAACCACACTCACTACACTCACCACTGGGGTACAATGTAACACTTGCCATGTGGATGCATGCGCAAGACAGGGACTCTTGTACCATACTCACCACACTCTCGTGCAGTACTCAGTGCTTAAATTGGTCCATGTATAGGTCCCCTCTCTCCCTGGGTCTCTCTTTTAAGTCACTCACTCAATGAACGACTCACTCCCTTGGTCACTCACCCCCTTGGCCACTCAATTACAAAGTTATTCGTTGACCGAGTCACCCACTGACTGGGTCACTCACCGAGTCACCCGTCGCTACAACGTTGGTCCCTCGCTCGCTCTCCACCCGACATGGTAGCGGTGCCAGAGCGAGGTTCGGGGGGTTGGGCTGGGTGGTGGCTGCCACCCTCTCGCCGTACCACACAGCAACCGCAACGCACACCGCTCCACCGGCAACTAAATCACCCGCACCGCAAGCCACCGCTGCCGATCACCACAAACCACCACCAACCACCGGGCAGCACTAACCAGGTAGCACCACCACCACCACCGCACACACACACGCGACAATAACTTAACCCACGGCCCGGCTCCTGGTGTGGCCAGAGCACCAGGGCACGAGCTGTAAACACGCTGAAGTAGGAAGGTGCTCACCGCTCACCGCAGACACACACAACACGGACTAGGGTCCCCCCTCACCACTGTGTGGTCCACACAGACCACTGGGGGGTAAAAGTGCTGTTCGCGAGAACCTATCAAAGACGGCGTGAGGCGGCCGGGTGGACGTGGCGATGGCTACGTCCGCCCGGCCACCTTTTGTCGCCACCAAGTGGCGACGTTTTAACGCGCCGCGGGGTGGAGCTCGCTCGAGGCCGAGTAGACCTAGGGGAGAGGCACAAGATGGGTTCAGATACCGCGCGCCACTGACGGCAGGGCACGGGGGGAATTGAACTCGATGCGCGGTGCGTGAAGCGCTGCGCCGCCACCACTCCTCAAAGGCAATGTTCAAGCACGCACGGAGGGCCAGAGGGGGGAGATAGTCGTGCCCCCCCCCCCCCACGGTGACCCCCCGACCTCCGCTCTTCTCACGATGCCAAATGCTCAGATTCCTCGATCTCCTGGAGTAGAAACTTCAGCGAAGCATGGATCTGCAAACACATGAACACACACACATAAGCATAAACAAAGATCCCCCGTGTAGCTATAACAGACTGTTGGGGCAAGTACTGTTAGCGAGCACCTATGAAGGGCGACATGGCACACGAGGGGGTGGGTGGCCAGCACCACGCCCGGCCGCCTTTGTCTCCCCAGTGGTGATGTTTACGCACCGCACCCAGTCCTCATTTGAGGTTGAGTCGACCTAGGGGAGGCTCAGGACCAGTTCAGAAAAACATCGTCACTGGTGTTGACCGTGAGCGGGAATCGAACTCAGGTCGCCGGGTTTGTAGCGCAGCGCGCCAACCGCTACACTACTACTCCCCCACTACTACACACGCACACACATACACATACAAGAAAGCACTCGCATCCATGCACAAGGGGGGGGCACAGTGGGGGTCATGGTGGTCACGGATGGGGGGGGGGGGCCCTCACGCTGTTCAGCCTCGCCATGTTGGTCGAGACTTCTCGGAGGAAGTCGAAGTCGGCGCTGCCGCCAACGTGAGGCCCTTCGGCACCCGCGCCACCGTCAGCGCCACCGTCAGCAGCGCCACCGTCAGCGCCGCCATCAGCAGCTCCGCCGCCTCCTCCTCCGTCTCCTTTGTCCCCCCCACCCCCCACTCCCACCCCCACATCCCACTTGGGGTTTGAGCTCTCCGGCACATTCAGCCTGAAGGTCACAGGTCACACATTGGGAGGGGGAGGAGGGCGGTCACGAGCGGGGTCACGAGCGGGGTCACGAGCGGGGTCACGAGCGGGGTCACGAGCGGGGTCACGAGCGGGGTCACCAGCGGGGTCACCAGCGGGGTCACGCGCGGGGTCACGCATGGGGTCACGCACGCGGTCAGGAGTGGGGTCGAGCGGGAGGTCGAGGGCAGGGTCGAGCACACCTGCGTCCGAAATGGTGCGGTGCGTGGCGGTGTGAGGAGCGGCGATGGTGTGGTTTATTTATTGGGGCGATGTGTCACAGTTGTGTGGCGGTGGCGTGGCGTGCGTAGAGCGGTGCAAGGTGGCATGCGGTGGTGATCGTGGCGCGGTGGTCTTGCGGTGCGGTGCGGTGCGGTTGGACGGTGAGCGGCGCGGTGTGCGCTGTGCCGTGGGTGGCGTGTGTCGTGTTGGCACAGTAGGGGGTACAGCTGCTGCATCCGCCAGTCATCTCAGTCGGTCAACCCACGGCACCTGCTGGGTCTGTCCCGTGACCTCCTGTCAGCAGCGAGCCTTCGACACTTCACGTGGCCTCAAAATCAACCTGGCCTGGCACAGGCGCCGTGGGGTCGTCACCGTCACTGGGTGGCGGGTATTGGTTTACGACGTGTGCCGTGTTGCCGCGGCAGCGCAAGGCATTGGGTGCGGTGGTGGTGCGGGGCCACTCACCCGGAGGCAAGCAGGCGTTCCTCCAGACAAACGAGCTTGTACGCCAGGAAACACGACAGGAGGAAGAGGACGACCACCCTACAGGGGCGGCGGTGGATGCCGCGCGGGGGAGGGGAGGCCACGAGGGTTATCGCGCAGAAGGGTGGACGGCGACACCTCGACACGCATGCGCATTCGACGAGCCAAGTTTCGGCGTAGCGAACTTTGGATGCAGCAGCATTACTTGAAAGAGAACTCTTAAAAATAAGAAAGAAATAAGCATGCGGAAATGAAAACTGAATAATACGATTGTCAAACAACGGTACTATATAAATAACAATACAATTCTAATAAGATATGGATTCTTGAGCTTTGCGATGTGAGTCTCACAGGAGTGTGTACAGGTGAGTGTGAGTCTCACAGCAGTGTACACAGGTGAGTGTGAGTCTCACAGGAGTGTGTACAGGTGAGTGCGAGTGTGAGTCTCACAGGAGTGTGTACAGGTGAGTGTGGGTCTCACAGGAGAGTGTACAGGTGAGTGTGAGTGTGAGTCTCACAGGAGAGTGTACAGGTGAGTGTGAGTCTCACAGGAGTGTGTACAGGTGAGTGTGAGTCTCACAGGATGTGTACAGGTGAGTGTGAGTCTCACAGGATGTGTACAGGTGAGTGTGAGTCTCACATGATGTGTACAGGTGAGTGTGAGTCTCACAGGATGTGTACAGGTGAGTGTGAGTCTCACAGGAGTGTGTACAGGTGAGTGTGAGTGTGAGTCTCACAGTAGTGTGTACAGGTGAGTGTGAGTCTCACAGGAGAGTGTACAGGTGAGTGTAAGTCTCACAGGAGTGTGTACAGGTGAGTGTGAGTCTCACAGTAGTGTGTTCAGGTGAGTGTGAGTCTCACAGTAGTGTGTACAGGTGAGTGTGAGTCTCACAGGAGTGTGTACAGGTGAGTGTGAGTCTCACAGGAGTGTGTACAGGTGAGTGTGAGTGTGAGTCTCACAGGAGTGTGTACAGGTGAGTGTGAGTGTGAGTCTCACAGGAGTGTGTACACGAGCAGCACGTTGTGCATGAGCGTGGATTCTCCCGCATGCATGCGCCGGGACCACCGCGTCAGACGCGCGCGCACAGAGCCTAGTGGGGTGGGGTGGGGGGTAGACAAGGCAGAGAGACCGTGAGACAACTCGTTAGAGATGGCTACGCTACGCTTGGCTGCCGACAATTCAGAGCCGTGGAGGCGGCAGCGAGGGTTAGTGGATCGCACGGCAAACCTCGTGAAACTCCCTCCTTCCCGTGGGAGTCGAGGAGGTGCCGAACCCTGGCTCGCCAGGAGAGGGCAGTAAAGTGCGTGGACTACTCACCATCTAACACGTAGTAGGCTTTCGTGACCAATATTATTCATAATCAACGTTTTTGGGTTTAGATCGCGTTATTTATAAATGTGTCGTAACCCTCCACCACCCGACATGGCCAATCAGTAAAAAAGTGTCACGTTGACAAAAGACAAATAGTTCACTGCTTTAGCCCACCGGTGTGTTGAAGCGTGAAACCACAACATTTACAATTTGAGTATGACGTTTCGCTGGTAATTGCATCCAGCATCATCGGGCAATTCGCCAGAATGGCGAAACGTCGTACTCAAAAATGAGAGTGTGTATTATGTTGAACTTTTTTCGCACTATACGTAGCCAACCTTGTGTGTTGTGTGTGCATGTTTGTGCGTGTGTAGGTATGCGTGGTGAGTGCGGTGAGTGCGGTGAGCATCGCACCTCCGTGGAAGCTCGACTTGAGGCGTCGTCGGGGGCTGGAGTCACCCTCCCCCACCTCATCCACCCCACGGTGCACGTCCACCAGCCGCTCTTCACACACACACACGTACACACGTAACAATGAGACAGATCCCCCTTGTAGCCTATACGCGATGTTGGTGGTGAGGATGATGCTCATGTCTGTGTGTGTGTAGGGCACAGCGAAGGCACAGCGCTTTGCGCACCGCACTTCAAACCCAGCCACCTGAGTTTGATTCTCGCTCGCGCCCAATAAGTGAAAAATTGTTGAGCTAGAATGGCAGTGCATGTGTATATGTGTACCAGTATATTCAAGTGTGTGTGTGCCAATGCATGCCACTGTCTGTGTGTGTGTGCGCGAGCATCACTCTTTACCGCTACTGCCCGATGCTGAGCTGGCTGGGCAAGTGTTGCTGGAATATGCAAGTGTGTGTGCGTGCGTGTGTGTGTGTGTGTGCGCCAGGGGTGCACGGTGATGTAGTGGTTAGCGCATAGTGCTCCGTACGCAGCGACATTGTTCAATTCCTGCTCACGACCACCAACAACCGTGATGATAATTTGAATCGATTCTGGGTCTCGGTTGGTGTGTAAACGTCGCTGCGAAGGAGATAAAGGGCGTGGTGTTGGAACACCCACCCCTTCGTACTCGCTAGCAGCACTTGCCCATCAGTCTATACGTGGGATCTTTGTCTTAGGATGTCAGTGCGTGTGTGAGTGTGTGTGAGAATCCATGCGTGAGTGTCGCTGCTCACCGCTGCTGCTGCCGGAGGCCGGGCGCGTGGTGCTGGCCTGAGCGTTCTCGCTGTCGCTGGAGTTGGTGGTGCGCGGAGTGATGGAGCCCGGAGTCTCCACCCACTCGGCCAGACCGTCCACCTCGTCCCCACCGGCCAGCACGACCTGCTAGCCGAAAGACAAAGATCCCCCGTATAGCCTTAAACTTTTGAGGCAAGTGCTGTTACCGAGCACCTATGAAGGCCGGCACGGTACATGGGGTTAGCGCCTGCTGACGGGAGTTCTATTCCCGCTCACGGCCAACACCAGGGATGATTATCTGACCTAGGCCTGGGCCTTCCCTTAGGTCGACTTAGCTGTTACACGTCGTCGCTTTAAGATGTTCTGTGTTTATATTTTGTTTGTTGCGGTTGCACACAGACTTAAGAGCCGCATGGCTCACAGGGCTATACCTAATAAATGAAACTTGAAACTTAAATAAATACCTGGTGCGGTGTGTAAACATCACCACTCGGGAGACATCCACCCCTTTGTGTACTGTGCCGGCCTTCATAGGTGCTCGCTAACAGCACTAACCCCAAAAGTCTATTAAGGCTACACAGGGGATGTTTGTATAGGTGTGGGGAGCAGTAGTGTAGCGGTTATCACGCTGCGCTACGAATCTGAGTTAAATTCCCACCCACGGCTAACACCAGTGACGATTATCTGAATCGGTCATGGTCCTCCCCCCTAAGTCGACTCAGCCTCAAATGAGTACCTGGTGCAGTGTGGAAAAAATGTCGCCACTGGGGAAACAAAAGTGGCCAGTTGTGGTGCTGGCCACACACCTCCTTGTTAGCCGTGCGGGCCTTCATAGGTGTTCACTAACAGTACTTCCCCAAACAGTGTGTTAACGGCTATATGGGGGATCTTTGTCTTTGTGTGGATGTGTGTGGTTGTGATTTTCACCAGTGCGAGTGAGGTTGGTCTCTCGGGGTGAGAAAACACTCTCTCGCTCTCCGGAGACACGCGGCTCAACCCGCCGTGCGTGCCGGACCCCACCTGTTCAACACACGGGGACACAGAGACACACAGAGACACCCACACAGGGTGGTGACACAGACACCCACACAGGATGGTGATACGTGGGGACACAGAGACTCTCACAGAGACACACAGAGACACCCACACAGGGTGGTGACACGTGGGGACACAGAGACACTCACAGAGTGGTCACATGGGGACGCAGAAACACTCCCACGGGGTGGTGACACACGGTAAGCTGCGTACAGTGCAAAAGAAGTTAACCATCCGGACATAGAAGGTGATGCATAGAAGGGGTGAGGCTGATGAGGGGAGGGGACGGCACGGGGTGGTGGGAGCCGGCGCTCACCAGGAGCTTGCAGACGGAGGCGAGGGCTCGGTGAGTGGCGTCACGTGACATGAGCGACACGAACAGGAACTGGGGTGGGGAGAGACAAACGCCACGTTAACCCCGCGGTGACCCCGACACGTGCCAAGTTAACTCCGCGGTGACCCATCGGCACGTGCCACGTCAACCCCGCGGTGACCCCGCGGTGACCCCGACACGACAGCAGAGATGCAGGCAGGAAGTGGAGTTGTGCAGAGAGACACTGAGGGTCTCGTCGTGTGCATTGGGTGGCGTGCTTCACCTTCTGCCCGTGGTGAGTGGTGACACAGAGCCCGTTGGGCACCAGCATGGCCGTCTTGTGCTTCTTCACCGACTTCACCGAGTCGACGGGGATCACCACCTGAGCCATGGGGACACACCATCATCACTACCCCCACCATCATCACTACCCCCACCATCATCACAACCCACACCATCATCACCACCCCCACCATCATCACAAACCCCACCATCATCACCACCCCCACCATCATCACCACCCCCACCATCATCACCACCCCCACCATCATCACCACCCCCACCATCATCACTACCCCCACCGTCATCACTACCCCCACCATCATCACAAACCCCACCATCATCACCACCCCCACCATCATCACAAACCCCACCATCATCACTACCCCCACCGTCATCACTACCCCCACCATCATCACTACCCCCACCGTCATCACAACCCCCACAATCATCACTACCCCCACAATCATCACTACCCCCACAATCATCACTACCCCCACCATCATCACTACCCCCACAATCATCATTACCCCCACCGTCATCACTACCCCCACCATCATCACAACCCCCACCATCATCACTACCCCCACCGTCATCACTACCCCCACCGTCATCACAACCGCCACCGTCATCACTACCCCCACCGTCATCACTACCCCCACCGTCATCACTACCCCCACCGTCATCACTACACCCACCATCATCACAACCCCCACCGTCATCACTACCCCCACCGTCATCACTACACCCACCATCATCACAACCCCCACCGTCATCACTACCCCCACCGTCATCACTACCCCCACCATCATCACAACCCCCACCGTCATCACTACCCCCACCGTCATCACTACCCCCACCATCATCACAACCCCCACCGTCATCACTACCCCCACCGTCATCACTACACCCACCATCATCACAACCCCCACCGTCATCACTACCCCCACCGTCATCACTACCCCCACCGTCATCACTACCCCCACCGTCATCACTACCCCCACCGTCATCACTACCCCCACCGTCATCACAACCCCCACCATCATCACTACCCCCACCGTCATCACTACCCCCACCATCATCACTACCCACACCATCATCACTACCCCCACCGTCATCACTACCCCCACCATCATCACAACCCCCACCATCATCACTACCCCCACCATCATCACAACCCCCACCATCATCACAACCCCCACCATCATCACTACCCCCACCATCATCACTACCCCCACCATCATCACCAGCACCTCCATCACTGCTACTGCCATCCCCTCCTCACCATACACCTTCACCCCCCACCCCCCCACCCTGCCGTGGGCACCCACCTTGATGTCGCGGCCGAAGAAGTTTGCGTAGAAGCAGACCCAGCGTGCCGAGATGAAGAGACGGCCGTGGAAGAGCATGTCTTTCTGCAGCGCGCACGAGAATGCTGAGGAGAGCACCACCATCAACATGGACATCAACACCGTCAACAACGCCATCACGAGAGAATGAGTGTGAGCTGCGTGTGTGTGCATGCGAGTTGTGTGTGTATGTGTGCGAAAGAGCTGTGTGTAGGTGTGTGAGGGTGTGTGTAGCTGTGTGCGTGTGCGAGTGTGTGTGGCTGTGTGTGAGTGCGTGTGTGGCTGTGTGTGAGTGCGTGTGTGGCTGTGTGTGAGTGTGTGGCTGTGTATGTGTGTGTGAGTGTGTGAGTGTGTGTGAGTGTGTGTGGCTGTGTGTGAGTGGCTGTGTGTGAGTGTGTGTAGCTGTGTATGAGTGTGTGTAGCTGTGTGTGCGTGTGTAGGTGTGTGAGTGCGTGTGTAGCTGTATGTGTGTGGCTGTGTGTGAGTGTGTGTAGCTGTGTGTGGGTGTGTGTGGCTGTGTGGCAGTGCGTGTGTCGCTGTGTGGCTGTGTGAGTGTGTGAGTGTGTGTGGCTGTGTGTGAGTGTGTGTGTAGCTGTGTGTGAGTGTGTGTAACTGTGTGTGAGCGTGTGCAGCTGTGTGCGTGCGTCTCTCACTGTCGCTGAGTGGTTCGTCTGCCGTCACCTCCTGGAAGAGGCGGTGGAACTGGGCGTTGTACTTCTTCCGGATCTGTGGCCAAACACGCAGAGAACATGCAGAGAGCGAGTGACAGTGAGAGTATGAGCGGGAGGAGGGGGGTGTTAGAGGAAGGGTGGGTTTGCGAGTGAGCGTGCATAACTCGCAGCGAGTGTACGAGTGAGTGTACGAGTGTACGAGTGAGCATACGAGCGGATGAGTGTGTGTTGAGGGTCAATGTACGAGCGTGTGGGTGAGTGTGACTGAGTACACGAGTGGGTGAGTGGGTGGGTGAGTGTGACGGTGAGCGTACGAGTGAGCGTGACGGTGAGTGCACGAGCAAGCGGGTGGGCGGGTGAGCAGCCGAGGTCAGCCGACAGCGGTTGCCAGAGAGTCGGGGGAACGGCGGTGCGTGCGCCAACAACCGTGTGGGTAAACACCGGCACAGGCGGCGTGTTTGAACAGCACCGGCTTTATCGAGTTGGGCAGAGATCACGGCCAAACTCTCGGCTTAATCTCCGCCGGGTAAACTCAAGAACTTCCTTTCTCACCAGACGTCCCCGGGCTCGCCAGTGAATCTGAACCGTAGGTTCCGATGACGGAAGAGGCACAAGCGACTGGACCGGTAGTTGTGACCGCAGTCATAGCGAGAGGTGGATGTGGTGTAGAGATTTTTTTTATGGGATATAAAACTATTATCTAGTTCCTCTAAACAATTTTATTTTACCAGCTAAGGCCCACTGAGCTATGTAGCTCTTTTTCAGAAGCTACCTAGCCACAAATGATAGCTCAACGAAGTGGCTTTTCACGTGGGAATCTATAGCACCGCAAACCCAGACGTTCCCGGTTGAAATGAAGCCACCCAGGAAAGGTGATCATCGTGGTGAGAACCGTTACACCACGCACTCCCTGCCGTTCCCAACACACATGACGAGCCACGTGGTTGGGGGGGGGGGAGAAGTGTCGGGGAGTGGCGAGGCCAGGAGGTGGTGCTGCTCACCGTCGTGGAGGAGTGAACTTTCTCCCCGGACTCCCGCAGCAGCTTACTCGCAGACTTGGAGCTGCTCGCAACACAAAGACAAACATCCCCGTATAGCATTTACAGACTGTTGGGGCAAGTGCTATTAGTGCTGTTGGTGCACCTTACAATGCCAACACTGCCTCTGTCTCCTTGCAATGTTTACACACCTTTGCAATGTTTACACACCGCACCAGGTCCTCATGTGAGGTTAAGACGATACGTACACACACATGCACAGCCGCGTGACTCGTGCACACACACAGTGCTTCCCGCGCACACACACACACAGTGCTTCCCATGTCGCCCGTACAGACATGGGAAGTGTTGTAGTTGGCACAGGACGCAGGGGGGGGGGGCTGGGGAGTGGGGGGCCGTGTGGGAGTGCGGTGAGGTTGGCACCGCATCCGCTCACAGCCCATGTTGATGAAGACAGAGCAGAGAGAAGTACCCGATTGTGCTGAGGTCAGACTGCACACACGCACACATAAACATATAATACATAAACGACAGAGATCCCCCATACAGCCTTCCAGAGGCTGCTTGGGGCAATTGCCATTCGCAGGCACACGAAGTGATGGGGTGTGGCCAGAACAACCCCCCTCTCCCCCCCACTGTCAATGTTCACACACCACACCAGGTGCTCATTTGAGGCTGAGTCGACCTTTGTGAGGCCCAGGACCGATTCAAATAATCGTCACTGGTATTGGCCGTGAGCAGGAAATGAGCTCAGGTCGCCAATTTCGTAGCACAGCGCGCTACACTACCTCTCACACACACACACTCACACACACATTCTCACACACACACACACTCAAGTTCAAGTTCATTTATTAGGTATAGCCCTGTGAGCCATTCAGCTCTTGAATCGGGTGCAACCGCAACAAACAAAAAACAAAAAACATGAACAAAAAACATCTTAAAGTGAATATGTGACTAAGTGCAAACAGAAAATCCAAGAAAAGACAGCAAAAATATTGCAGAAAAAACACCGTACACCAACGCTGTGTGCAAAAATCCCAGTGGGATGCAAGTCAAACAACAACAACAACCACAAGACAACTTAAAACACTCTCACACACACACTCTCACACACACACACATTCTCATACACACACACATTCTCACACGCACACACTCTCACACACATTCTCACACACACCGTAACCGCAGGCTGTGGGGAAGGCTGAGTCACTGAGGTTACTGCTGCTGCTGCTGAGCAGAGACCGTGCAAGTGGAGGCGGAAGTCGGCAGCTCAAGGGGCAGGGCCTTGCGGAGCCAGTGGGGGGGGGGGGGGGGGGAATGGGGGAGGGAGCGAGGCGGGGAGCACAGTGGGCTCCATCAACACTCGCCCAAACCTCTAACCACTAATCCCAACTTTAACTCACAGCCCTTCCCTAATCCCTATGTCCCTCTCTAACTCAGAACACTGAACCCTATACTTATGCCCAAAACCTATCCCTATGTGTAACATGTATCCCTAACCCTTAACCCCTATCCCAAACTCTAACCCCTATCCCGAACCCCTATTGCTATCAAGTTCATTTATTAGGTATAGCCCTGTGAGCCATTCGGCTCTTGAATCGGGTGCAACCGCAACAAACAAAAAACATGAACAAAAGTTATACCCACCCCTAACCCCTACTAATGCCAGCACAACCCACACGGACGTCGGAGAGCTCTAGGGCGGCACAACCACGGACACCCGTGCGCCAAGTGGGGGGTTAAATCGCGCGCTCTCTTCCGGCGGACGGTGGCGCCAGCGGCGCGCCCTCTCACCGGGACTGCTGCCGCCTCATCCTCTGTCCCGGCTCCGGCTGCGGCTCCGGTTCGGGCTCCGGCTCTTGCCGGGGCTCAGGTTCGGCGACGCAGCCTGGCGTCGCGTCCGGGGTGCGGCCGTCGTCAAACGAGTTGCCGTTGGTCCCCACGGAGTCGGCGTTGGAGTCGATGCTGCTCGCACCAACACAACGCACGCCACAAATCAACAAAGGGTCCTGCTTCCCCTCCGTGTAACCTTTAGCAGGCTGGTGGGGCAAGCGCTGTCTGCGAGCACCTATGAAGGCTGACACGGCCATACCGCACCAGTCACTCATTTAAAGCTGATTCAACCTAAGGGAGGCCCAGGACCAGTTCAGGACATTAATCACTGTTGTTGGCCACGAGCAGACACACACATACACACACACAGGTAGACACAAAAACACAGGTAGACACAAAGACCCCCGTATAGCCTGAACAGACTGTAGGGGCAAGTGCTGTTAGCGAGCACCTATTAAGGCCGGCACGGCACACGAGGGGGTGGGTGGCTAATACCACGCCCGGCCGCCTTTGTCTCCCCAGTGGCGATGTTAACATCACACCAGGTACTCATCTAAGATTGAGTCGACCGAGCTGAGGCCCAGGACCGATTCAGGTAATGGTCACTTGTGTTGGCCATGAGCGGGAAGCGAACTTGGGTCGCCGGGTTTGTAGCGCAGCGCGCTAACCATTCCACTACCGCAGGTACACACACACAAGTACACACACACGCGTACACACACACACAGGTACACACAACATAGGTACACACACACACAGGTACACAAACATGCGTACACACACATAGGTACACACATACACACACAGGTACACACGCGTACACACACAGGTACACACATACACACACAGGTACACACATACAGTACACACCTACAGGCACATGCCGAGTGACAGCCGCCTCCGAGTTTCAAATGAGTTTCACGTTGACCCAAATCCTGCGGTGAGATGCTGAGCCCCGGGGCAGGAAACCTGACGATTCCCAAGGTGAGCGAGCAGCCACCGCCCCAACCTGTCCTGCCCCCCCCCCCCGCTACCCCCCACCACGACCCCCCAAAACATCCCAATGTCGCAGCACTCAGCAACCGAGAAAACAACATCGCACACCACATCCAGTATAGCTCTCGCTACGGCTCTGGTGGGTCCTGCTCGCCACGTGCCACCTACCCGGGCAGCAGTCTTACACAGCAACCTGGGAAATATTTCACGTCTGATGTGGTGTGCCGGGTTTGGGGAAATATTTCCCCAAACCCGGCACACCACATCCGCCGTGCGTCACGCGATCACTGGACAACCGCTGTCTGCCGTCGAGATGTGAACGGCATTGACGAACGATTTGTAAACAACGCGAACGGAGTAAGTCTCCACGTCACGTGTAGGCTAATGGAGCACATGGAACTGTAGGAACGAGAAAAGCGAGACGGGTCAACGCGAGAAAGCCATCGAATCGCCTGCGAGGGTGTGCTGGTGGTGAATCCTCACACATCGGGGAAATACGGGGGGGCATTGTTGGATTGTTGGTGTAAACTTTGCAATGATTGCTGCCAATCCACCGCTATTGTCACTGTTATTACTCGCTGCCACGTTCGCGGGTTAGGTAACAGGTGAGGAATCGCTCCGAGTCGGCCCATTACATCACCGCTGGGTATTGCAGCATTGCTGCTTTGCAGCATTGCTGCTCGGCGCCTGGTTTACAGCCCTGCCGAGAGCCGGTGGGCGAATTTCCACACGCCGGTCGTAGTGGCGAACCTGGTGCCAATTTTATCGACCACGCGTGGGATGATGAGGCAGAGTCAACTGCAACCGACCTGCGCGCTTGGATCAAACTGCGACTCTGCCGGCTCCAAAGAGGGGGGGGGAGGGGGGGTCCGGGCGGGAGGGGAAGGAGGGGGTCCGGGGGGGGGGTCCGGGGGGGGGACTGGGCGAAGGGGGGGGGGGTTCGGGCGGGGGGGGTCTGGGCGAGGGGGCCCCCCCTCCTGGCCGTGGCAACGCGACGTGAACACGACTCGGTAACCCGCCCCCCTCCCTCCCTGCGCTAACACCCAACACCGGGCCTGGAGCGGCGCACGTGACACCCGAGCGAAGTCATAAACACAGGTGGGGTGGTGGTCAGGTGGTGTGGTGGTCAGGTGGTGGGGTGATGGGGTAGTGGTGGGGTGGTGGTCAGATGGTGTGGTGGTCAGGTGGTGGGGTGATGGGGTAGTGGTGGGGTGGTGGTCAGGTGGTGTGGTGGTCAGGTGGTGGGGTGATGGGGTAGTGGTGGGGTGGTGGTCAGGTGGTGTGGTGGTCAGGTGGTGGGGTGATGGGGTAGTGGTGGGGTGGTGGTCAGGTGGTGTGGTGGGGTGGTCAGGTGGTGGTGTGGTGGTGGTCAGGTAGTGTGGTGGTGGTGGTCAGGTGGTCTGGTGGGGTGGTGGTGGGGTGGTGGGGTAGTGGTGGGGTGATGGTCAGGTGGTGTGGTGGGGTGGTCAGGTGGTGGTGTGGTGGTGGTCAGGTAGTGTGGTGGGGTGGTGGTGGTGGTCAGGTGGTCTGGTGGGGTGGTGGTGGGGTAGTGGTGGGGTGATGGTCAGGTGGTGTGGTGGGGTGGTCAGGTGGTGGTGTGGTGGTGGTCAGGTAGTGTGGTGGGGTGGTGGGGTGGTGGTGTGGTGGTGGTCAGGTAGTGTGGTGGTGGTCAGGTAGTGTGGTGGTGTGGTGGTGGATGTGGTGGTTGATGGTGGTCAGGTGGGGGTGGTGGTCAGGGGGTGGTGGTGGTGTGGAGGAGGAGGAAGGGGTGGGGTGGGGGTCTCCGCTTCGGCTCAAGACAACGCAACCTCTGGCGGTGACTCTGACGCAGACCCCCGCCCCCCACCCCGTGCCGCGTCTCACCCAGCACAGCTGCAGCTCACCTGGCTCCCCCCTCTCTCCCTTCTCGGAGGCTCCCACTACCACCAACTCTTAATCCTTCCTTGGGGTGTCCGTGAGATGCCGTGAGCCCCCTCGCCCGGCTTATTGCAGGAGGGCCGTGGGTTCGAAACCCGGACCCTGACGATGCCTGTTTGTGTACTGGGATTTAGAATCCGCGGGTTCTGTCATCCCCGCGGTGATGATGTGCCTCTCTGTGTGTTACAGTGTGTGTGTTACAGTGTGTAGTGTGTTACAGTGTGTGTAGTGTGTGTTACAATGTGTGTGTTACAGTGTGTGTTACAGTGTGTGTTACAGTGTGTGTTACAGTGTGTGTTACAGTGTGTGTTACAGTGTGTGTGTGTTACAGTGTGTTTCAGTGTGTGTAGTGTGTTACAGTGTGTGTAGTGTGTGTTACAGTGTGTTACAGTGTGTGTGTTACAATGTGTGTGTTACAGTGTGCGTGTTAGTGTGTTAGTGTGTGTAGTGTGTTACAGTGTGTGTAGTGTGTGTTACAGTGTGTGTTACAGTGTGGTAATAGCTGCTCACTCAGAGGAGGAGTTGGAGACGCTGCTGCTGAGACTGGAGCATGCCACTAAGAGGTGGGGCCTTACCATCAGCCCCACCAAAACTAAGCACCTGCCTGGGTATTTTGTACCATCGGACACTCCACCCACACAACTCCCAATCGGTGATGGGGCAGTTGTGGAGAGAGTGGAGAGTTTTGCCATACCTAGGCAGTATGCTTATGACCGGCTCCAGTTTAACAGCAGAGGTCTCACTCCGAATCAGTCGAGCGGCAATATCTTTTCATCGGTTGCGTAACGCTGTGTGGAAGCTACCTGGTCTGTCGCTCCGCACGAAGCTTCAGGTCTTCTCGGCCACGGTCATTCCCTCCCTTCTCTACGCTTGCGAGACGTGGACCCCCCTGGTGGAGCATCTTCGCCGGTTGGAAACATTTAGGCTGGCCTGCCTACGATCCATCCTGGGTTTAACCAGGCTGGATTGTGTGAGGAGCTCACAAATCCTTGAAAGATCTGGGCAAAGTCCCATCAGTGAGCTCCTCCGGCAGGCAAGGCTGCGTTGGCTGGGTCATGTAGCCCGCATGCCCAGCCACCGCATGCCTAAACAGCTTTTGTTCGGCCGGATCGAGGGGGCTAGACGGGCGCGGCACGGGCTGGAGAAGAGATGGAGTGATGTGGTACAGGAGGACGTGGAGCTGAGTGGACTTGCCGATGACTGGTACCAGCGGTGTCAAGATCGGCCTCGGTGGAGGAGGCTCGTGAAGGACGCTACTGGGCAGTTGGAGGCAGTCGCCCTCCAACAACAACGGAGGGCGGAGGAGCGACGCTCACAACAACGAGCGGAGCGCCGGGTGGCTAAAGCACAGCAAGTTGGCACAGTAGGGGGCACAGGTGGTGCATCAGCCAGTCATCTCGGTCATCTCGGTCAGTCGACCCGTGGCACCTGCTGGGTCTGCCCCGTGACCTCCTGCCAGCGGGCTTTCGACACTTCACGTGGCCTCAAGGTGCACTTGGCCTGGCACAAGCATCGTGGTGACGTCACCGCCACTTAGTGGCGAATGGCGGTTGTTGTTGTTGTTACAGTGTGTGTGTTACAGTGGGTGTAGTGTGTGTTACAGTGTGTTAGTGTGTTACAGTGTGTGTAGTGTGTTACAGTGTGTGTTACAATGTGTGTTACAGTGTGCGTGTTAGTGTGTTAGTGTGTGTAGTGTGTTACAATGTGTGTAGTGTGTGTTACAGTGTGTGTTACAGTGTGTGTGTTACAGTGGGTGTAGTGTGTGTTACAGTGTGTTAGTGTGTTACAGTGCGGTAGTGAAGTGGTTATCGCGCTGCGCTACGAACCTGGCGAGCCGAGTTGACGATTATCTGAATCGGTCCTGGGCCTCCCCTAGGTCCACTCAGCCTCAAATGAGTACCTGGTGCGGTGTGTAGTAAACATCGTCACTAGGGAGACAAAGGCGGCCGGGCGTGGTGCTGGCCACCCACCCCCTCGTGTGCCATGCCGGCCTTCATAGGTTGCTCGCTAACAGCACTTGCCCCTCTAATGAAGGCTACCCGGGGGATCTTTGCCTTTGTGACGCCTCTCTCCCTGTGGATTTCCTCCCGTAACTAAAAGCACCGATACAATGTAACAACACGCCAATGATGAAATATCGCCTGCAAACTGCTCGATTGGGATTACACGCAGCATCAGCAGCATCATTAGCCCCTCCTTGACATTCTTGGCAGGGCCTTTGCTGATCTTTAAGTCTTGTAGAATCGGCTAGGAGATGTTAACTTCCTCGCCTGGTCTACAGGTGTCTGCTGTATATGTCGAATGTGCGTGTCTCTCTCTCTCATCATCATCATCACGGTGGCTAGGAGATGTTAACTTCCTCGCCTGGTCTACAGGTGTCTGCTGTATATTTGGAATTTGCGTGTCTCTCTCTCTCTCATCATCATCATCACGGTGGCTAGGAGATGTTAACTTCCTCGCCCGATCTACAGGAGGTCGTGGGTTCGACCCTGACGCAGGGATGGACATTCCATGTTCCCATGGCGGGGTGGCGAGTCTATAGGTAGGGCAACCACCGCTACTTACAGAACCATTGTCAGTCCACTGCGAGATGGAAGGCCTCGCTGATGCCGCTAAAGGGCGGGGGAGGAGCGTCGTTCGCAGTCTGCGCGCAGCCTCCAAGACGCCCGGCGGCCAGAAACAAGCAGCACTCACTGTGATCAGCGCGGTAGAGGAAGACGCAGCCCCCCCCCCGTGCCCCCCTCGTGTCTCCCCCCCCCGTGTCCCCCCCCCCCCGATGTCCCCCCCCGTGTCCCCCGCCCCCGTGTCCCCCCCCGTGTCCCCCCCCCCGTGTGTCCCCCCCCGTGTGTCCCCCCCCGTGTCCCCCCCCCCCGTGTCCCCCCCCGTGTGTCCCCCCCCGTGTGTCCCCCCCCGTGTGTCCCCCCCCCCGTGTGTCCCCCCCCCATGTGCCCCCCCGTGTGTGCCCCCCCGTGTGTCCCCCCCCCCGTGTGTCCCCCCCCCATGTGCCCCCCCGTGTGTGCCCCCCCCCCCGTGTCCTTCGCGTTTGTTCGCAGACTCTCGCCACGACTTGAAGCGGGGATCGAGGCGGGATGAGGTGAGGAAGAGGGGGGGGGCATGGGGGGCCAAGGGGGGCAACAAGGAGACCCCCACAGCGCAGGGGAGGCGACACTCAGGCGGCAAGCGCAGGACGCCGTGCGTGCGGATGGACTTGGCTTTCCAGAGAAACGAGGAATGGGCGCGGCCTTGGGAGCCACAGACCCCGACAAGCGGCGGCGGTGACCTCTGACCGCTCACTTCTTACTACATTCCCAGCCCTCACACGCATGGACCCACCACTCCCCACCACTCCCCACCACTCCCCACCACTCCTCACCACTCCTCACCACTCCTCACCACTCCTCACCACTCCTCACCCCCCACTGACCTGCTACAACATCCCCACCACTCCTCACCACTCCCCACCACTCCTCACCACTCCCCACCACTCCCCACCACTCCCCACCACTCCTCACCACTCCCCACCACTCCTCACCCCCCACTGACCTGCTACAACATCCCCACCACTCCTCACCACTCCCCACCACTCCTCACCACACCACTCCTCACCACTCCCCACCACTCCTCACCACTCCCCACCACTCCTCACCACTCCTCACCCCCCACTGACCTGCTACAACATCCCCACCACTCCTCACCACTCCCCACCACTCCTCACCACTCCCCACCACTCCTCACCCCCCACTGACCTGCTACTACATCCCCACCCACCCCCCTCTCACCTGCGCCGTCCCCGGCTCCACCTGCTGCCCAGGCGCGTCTTGCCCGGCTCGGGGCCCGGGCCCGCCGGCTCCTCCATCGCCTACAGCCGAGTCGTCCCCGTGACCCCCCGTGTCTCTGTGTGTCTCTGTGTCTCTGTGTCTCCCCGTGTCTCTGTGTCTCTGTGTCCGTCTCCCCGCGTCTTTGCTCACTCACCCGATGTGTCCTGTCTCAATGTCTACTTGTGTCTCCGTGTTTCCTTGTTTCCTTGTATCCCCCCCCCCCCCGTTTCTCCCTCGCGCCTATTCCTCTTCTCTCTAGGATGTCTTGTCTGTGTCTCTCTCTACCCGTGTCTCTCTCTCCCGTGTCTTTCTCCCCGTCTGTCCGTGTCCCTCTCCCCGTCTGTCCCTCTCCCCGTCTGTCCCTCTGTCCCCGTGTCCCTCTCCCCGTCTCTGTCCCCTAGCGTGTCCCTCTCCCCGTCTCTCTCCCCCCGTGTCCCTGTCCCGTATCCCTCTCCCAGTGTCCCCGTGTCTGTGTGTCTCTGTTCCGTGTCCCTCTCCCCGTGTCTCTGTGTGTCTGTCCCGTATCCCTCTCCCAGTGTCCCCGTGTCTCTGTGTCTGTGTCTCTGTCCCGTGTCCCTCTCCCAGTGTCCCCGTGTCTCTGCCCCGTGTCTCTGTGTCTCTCCCCCGTGTCCCTCTGTCCCCGTGTCTGTCCCCGTCTCTCCGCCCCCCGCGCTCCACCCCGTGGAGCCCCGCCCCCTCCTGCTCACCCCCCCCCCCGTCCACGCTGGGACCCCGCGAAAAAACTTTAAGCCAATCGTGAGAGCGCTCTGGCGGCCCACGTGACCGCGCTGACCCAATGCGGCCTCGCCCCTAAACTCCGCGAGCGCGCTGGGATTTCTCGGGTGGGGGGGGGGTGGATGAAAGCCAATCAGAAGCGGCGCTGTGCGGCCACGTGGAGTGACGTCACCGAACTGGGGGAGGGTGGGGAGGGCGAGCCACCCCCCCCTCCCGCCTGGGCGCGCCGACGGTCACGTGACTATCGGTGAAATGATTGCGCTCGTGGTGCACACACACAGGTACACACACAGGTACACACGTGGGTGTTATACACAGGTACACGCGTGTGTGTGACACACAGGTACACACGTGGGTGTTATACACAGGTACACGCGTGTGTGTGACACACAGGTACACACGTGGGTGTTATACACAGGTACACGTGTGTGTTATACACACACAGGTACACACGTGGGTGTTATACACAGGTACACGCGTGTGTGTTTACCACACATGTACACGCGTGTGTGTCTAACACACACGCGTGTACATGTGTGTGTCTAACAGACACAGGTACACACAGGTACACGTGTGTGTTATACACACACAGGTACACACGTGTGTTCTGTGCAGGTAGACACATTAATACACTTACAAAATACAAAGATACCCCGTTTAGCCTCAGACTGTTGTGGGAAGTGCTGTTAGTGAGCAGCTATGAAGGCCGGCGTGGGTGCCTATGACAACGCCCTGCCCGCCTTTGTCTCCCGAGTGGCGATGTTTACAAATCGCAACAGGTACTAATTTGAGGCTGAGTCGACCTAGGGGAGGCCCAGGACCAGTTCAAATATTCGCCACTGTTATTGACCGTGAGCGGACATCGAGCAGAGCAGGGTTCGTAGCGCAGTGCGCTAACCTCTGCATCACCGCTCGCCATGCAGAAGACAAAGACACACACTAACATGTACACAAAACCCCAACATCATCGTGGGTTAGAGGCTAGGGTTTAGACACTGGGATAGGGAAGTGATGGTTGAACTGCTATTTTTATTATTTAAACTATTCTTTTTATTTCACCAAGTAAGGCCCACTGAGCTACGTAGCTCTTTTTCAGAAGCGACCTGGCCACAAATGAGAGCTCAACGAAGTGGCTTGTCACGTGCAAATGGGTAGCAGCCAAATGCTCTAAATGAACGTTAATTATAAGTGTGCAGGAAAAACTGAGAAAATGCCACGGGGAGAGAGACACGCAAACTCCAAATATACAGCAGGCGTCAGGGTCGGGATCGAACCCACAACCTCCTGTACACCAGGCGAGATAATTAACATCTCCTAGCCACCGTGATGATGATGAGAGAGAGAGAGACACGCAAACTCCAAATATATAACAGGCGTCAGGGTCGGGATCGAACCCACGACCTCCTGTACACCAGGCGAGGTAATTAACATCTCTTAGCCATCGTGATGATGATGAGAGACACCGCAAACTCCAAATGTACAACAGACATCAGGGTCGGGATCGAACCCACAACCTCCTTTATACCAAGCGAGGTAGTTAACATCTCGCCACCGTGGTTGGATTTCCGAGGCAATGTCTGAGGTCTAAAGGCTGCAGAGAAAGGGGGAAGTTCAGGGATGGAGGTTACAGGGTCGGGGTCATAGTCCAGGGCCGCACGACTCGAGGTCTAGACGAGAGATGGGGGTTTGGTTTAAATCGAGAGGATAGGGTATGTTTGAGCGCTAAAGGGTACAGAGATACAGGTGAGGGTTAGGAATAGGGGTGAGAGTTAGGGGTGAGGGTCAGGGGTGAGGGTCAGGGGTGAGGACCAGGAATAGGGGTTAGGGTCAAGGACAGTGGTGTCAGGGTTAGGGGTGAGGGTCAGGGTTATGGGTGAGCGCCAGGGGTGAGGACCAGGAATAGGGGTTAGGGTCAAGGACAGTGGTGTCAGGGTCAGGGGTGAGGCGTTAGGAGTTGACGGCTGTGGCTGGCTTCTCTGCTCACCTGGCAAGCGATCGGCTCCGCCGTGGCTCCTCTTCATCCTTGACCTCGCGATCTCGGTACCTCCGGATGAGGCGACGGAGCAGGTGGCTCCCAGCGATCATCCCCCGGGGTTGGTGGTGGTGGGAAGTGAGGGGCGCCTCTCAATGTAGCAATCAATTATCGCTAATTAACGGTTTTGTCTGCGCGCCCATGGGGGTCTTGATGAGGTCTACTCGGCCACTAGGGGGTTGTTAGCCGTGGCGGGGGTCCTTGAAGGATCATCTGGGAAAGGGGAGCGCTCGCGTGCCCTGTGTGAGGTGTGAACTGGACTCGTGAGGGTTGTGCAGCGAAGGCCTTGGGGGAGGGGGTAGGGGGGTGGGGTGCCGCTTTGCATCCGCAGATTTCACAACTTGCGTAGATACGTGCGCTCCCCCCCCCCCCCCCAATTACTGGGTCCTCCACGTGTCCACGACTCTCGCTTCCCCTTCGCTCGCACTGGCCCAGCGAGGAGGAATGCGATGCGACTGTAGTGGAGCCGTGCCCGGGGTTGTAAAGGGGGTGATGTTGCGAGTCACTTTTAGGAAATGCAGTTTCCTCTCTGACGTGTGTGGCCACGTGTATGGAAACCACGGTGGCTCGGAGATGTTAACTTCCACGCCTGGTATACAGGGGGTCGTGGGTTCGATCCCGACCCTGACGCCTGCTGCTGTATATTTGGAGTTTGCGTGTCTATCTCTGTGCTCGTGTGGATTTTTCTCAAGGTCTTCCAGTCCCCCCCACCCCCCCCCCCCACATTTAGGAACGAGCGTTTAGAGGATTTGACTGCTATACATTTCCACATGATAATCTACTTCGTTGAGATATCATTTGTGGCCAGATCGCTTCTGAAAAAGAACTACAGAGCTCAGTGGTGAAATAAAAAAAATTGTTTCGTTTTAGTTCAGTTCGTATTCCAGTCCGAGGCATCGGGGGCCTTCACTAACCTAACCGTGTTGTGTACAGGTCAGCGCCGTCAGTGTTAGACGGTTGGTGTTGTGTACAGGCTGGGCTGAGCTGCTGTGGGGAGTGTGTGGACGAGACCGTGGAAGTTTTTAATAAAGAAAGTGCCTCCTAGAAACTCTGTCTCTGAATCGTTGACACCACATACACACTGACACAGTGACATACACTCTGTCGCAATGACTCACAAATAATTGCATGCACTGACATACCTACCCTGACCTACGCACACTTTGACAGAGTGACAGCTACATTGACACGGTGACATACACACGACGGGATGGGTGGCCAGCATCACGACCGGCCGACTTTGTCTCCCCAGTGCACCAGGTACCCTACCAAATTAAAGTCTGAGTCGACCACACAAAAACAATTTTTCTGAAGTTTTTTTTAAAAAGGGGTATTAATGATTACACAATTGGTAGCTATTGAGTAACAGACAAACCCTCCAATAATCGCAAATATGCATGAGAAAATGAACTAATTTGTATTTAATGTAAAAGTATAAAATGTTGTCGGCACAGGTAAACTGGACGTCGTGGTTTTTTTTATAATTTTTCTTAATTTTATTGTTATTATTATGTTTCTACCTACGTGACTTTACCGAAAGAACCAAAGAATATGAATTCCTGCAGTCACGAAAGTTTGGACCTTGATCAGCAGAATCCACCCAGTGAGCCCAAGGGCACGTGATTAATTCATGAACAATTCCCGGAATTATAATCATGCCGAATGGTGTAAACAAGGGCAGTCTCCATCTCTCTACCCTCTCTCTGTGTGCTATGAAGAAGGGCCATTGCCCGAAACGTCGCCTACCACTAGATATTTGTTTCCCATGTGAAGGCCACAGAGAGCGTTATCGACCACCTTGTTGAGTGTTTGTTGTTTGTGCAGCATCAGTCACGCGGTGTACAACAACACCACGCACGACCGCCTTTGGGGCCGTCCATAAATGACGTCACGCACCTAGGGGAGGGAGGGGGGTCAGATATTTGTGACGATGTGTGACGAGGGGGGGTTTGAGAAATGTGACGTCGCATCAACATGCGCAACTTTAAATAAATAGACAACACGTTCTGCTTAATTAAATAGACTTTTTAATAAATGTTTACTCCTACAACATCAGAGTGCAGCGGCACATTAAATACGCACTACAATGACAATAGTTTAAAGTGATTTGAAGAATGTTTTATTTGGGGGGGGGGGCAGAGCTTTGTGACGTCATATTTGAGGGGGGGGGTCTGACTTTTTGTGACGCCGTGTGACGAGGGGGGGGGGTCAAAAATCGTCAAAAATCGCGTGACGTAATTTATGGACGGCCCTTTTGTGTCCCCAAACAAACACACGCGCACACGTCCAGCGCCCCCCCCCCTTCTCCTCCCTGCGTTTCTCAGGAGCTCAGGAGACGCCGCGGAAGACATCTTACGCAACCCCCGCCTCCAGCCCCCGCGCCCTCACCCCTCCCGACCCCCTCCCGTGATGTTGCGTCGCTGCTGATGTCACAACGGCGCCTGTTGTGGTGCTAGGCGAGGTCCACGTGGAGAGCACGTGGCGTGTGTGTTAAGCTGCTGTCACGTGACAGACCCAGGTGCTATGGCTGGGAAGATGCGTCGCTCGTTCCTCCCGGCTGTGCCAACTCGCTGCGTTTTAGCCGCCCGGCGCTCAGCTCGTTGTTGTGAGCGCCGAACCTCTGCCGTCCGTTGTTGTTCAAGGGCGACTGCCTCCAACTGCCCGCAGAGGCCGATCTTGACACCGCTGGTACCCGGTCACCGGCAAGTCCACTCAGCTCCACGTCCTTCTGCACCGCATCAGCTCCATCTCTTCTCGAGCCCGTGCCGCGCCCATTTATCCCCCCCCCTCTCTATCCGGGCAACCAGAACCTTCTTGGCCATGCGGTGCCTGGGGCAGGGGGGGGC